ATTGTCTGAATGCTGAGCTATTTTTATAATTCATATTTTTAGGGACAAATGGTCTGTTTTCAGATGATTATGAACTCAGAAAGTTTGACCTGCATGAATCCCTTTAGAAAAATATTGCTCAAATCCTCATGCCAACAAAATTTTAAAAATGACTCAAATAAGAAGACGTGAGACCAAAAAGACAGTTGGAAAACAAGTCAGTGAAACATTTATATTCTTTTCATTCATTTTTCATTAATGTTTGATAAGGCTATACATTTTAAGGCTGTTTTTGAGAAAAGATTCCTGAACCCAGTAAAGTAAAAAATACACGAGTTGCCATTTGGAATAAAAATTCCCAATAAATTTCACAGAACAAGAAAGAAAGTGAAAGTGGGATCATGGACAAATACTAACTCTTCGTATTAATAAGAAAATGCTTAAGTATGTGTTTAATAGATACATTTACCAGTGGAGGACAGATACATAGAACACTAAACAAAATAGACACAGTAGAAGGAAGAAGAGAAGGAAGGAAATTTATTCTTAAATGAGAAAGACAAAGTCAGGAATCGTAATGAACAGGAAATGCCACCAAAATGTCAGGAAGGCCATTAGCCTGACTGGCTTCTTGTTCCCGTTCTGTCCCTTCTCGCTGGGGACAGAGTCCCCCTTTCTGTCCCTCGTTCTCTTCATCTTCATTGTGGTGTTGTGAGGAAACAAGGACAAGAACCATGTCATGTGCTTAGAACGATGCCTGGCACGTGGCACAACCGCGGTCAATATTATTGTGGTTATTTTATTATTTTCAGGATCATGACCATGACCCAAGCACTTGGAAGAGTGGTTGGTGCAACATAAGTGCTGGAGGCAGGTTTGCAATAACCTGCTGGTTGAAGTGGCAAAGGAGCAGGGTGGCCGAGGACTGAATTTGCTGTGTCGGTGATGTCAGCTGTCAGGGTTTTATACCTTCTCTACCCGCCCTGCCTGCGGTCCTTCACTGCTTTGCTTCTGGACTCCTGCCACCGCTTCCCGGTTCTCATGTCTGGCATCTTCTCTTGGCACCTCTAGAGGTGACAACGGTGGGGCATTTGAGGAAAGGTTTGTCCTAGGTTTAGCCTTTCCCCATGGATTCTGTCATGTGCTTGATCACCCAGAGTCCCCATTTATTGGAGAAAATTTTATCTTCAGCCTCTTTGCATCCTTGCTGGGTGAGTGGAGTAGAACATCTGGAAAGAGACGTACATGGTTCAAAAGATCACCAATCAGGCCCTGATGAGACAGGCTCAGCTTGGCTTTACCCATGAACCAGAACATGCCGGGAAGCCCATTTGTGTGCTTCCAGCCTGGACCTGCTCAACCAACTCACGGCTCAGCCTAGGACGCTGAGTGTCCCTGCCACTGAGCACTGTTTTGCTTGACTTCTCTCAGGGAGAACTATTTCTAGAAATTGCTACTGACATTATGGAAAACAATTGTAGTTTTTTAATGTGTTTGTAAATGATATTTTAGAATAAAATGTCTTTTCTCTTGCCTTTTTTTTTGCTCTAGCAAGTCATGTGTTATCTAGTGTCTTGACATCAATCTGCTGTCATGTATAGTACACACCTGAGGAAACATTTTCCTTGTCCTTCCCTCTGAGGCTGATCTAACCTCTGCTCTCTTGGGGGCCAGGACAGACCTGACACAGGCATCTGAAATATGGACTCTGCCAGGAGGGGCATGAACCCCCTGGCCTAAGATTTAAGAGTTTAACATGGGAATGAACTTGACCATGCTGAAAAGTATGGTGCTAGGGAATTAGCCTGAAGAGAAGACTGGATATCTTAGGATGTCAACAGATGTGGTTTTGGACAAGTTGTTCTGTATTCCGCGTTGTTCCAGAGAACAGGTGATATGGAGAGGTGCCTGGATTATTGCTGGTAATAATGGCCCGGCAGGTGGGCAGCAGGGAGCTATACAGGTGGGCGTCTGTCATCATGAAGATCAGGCATTTGAGTGAAGTGGCTGGATCTCAGAATCACCAAAGGCCTGAGCTATCAAACCTTAGCAACACACACAGAGAATGCACACACACATGGCACACACACACGGCACACACACACACACACACACACACACACACACACACGGCACACACACGCACATCCCACCTGGGGGCACCCCCTTCTCCTGAAGCTCATCAACTCCAACTCTGTATTTCTCAGACTCTCACCCACACAGGGCTGGGGTCTCCTGTGTCCCCACAGGCACCCAGGCCCTTGTTGTCCATCAGGGGCTGACCCCCGGGAGGCCGCCCCTCACAAGCGCCTGAGCCCCCCTGGCTGCCTTCATTTCTAGGCCACTCAGAGGAAGAGCCAACTGGCTTCCAGCCCTGCGGCAGCCTGGGGGCCAAGGGCCGGGATGGGGCTGCCTCTCTTCAGGGAATCCACACTATGTACTTCAGGAGGGGAGTCCCAGGTGTGCCACAGACCAGCCATGGAATCATTAGGAAGTGGCTTTTCACAGTCTCAGTTTTTTTCTGGAAACTGAAGGCATTGGCTTGGTCTCTCCAAGAACCCCTCGGGTGCTAGAGACTGGTTTCATAGCAGCTTCGGCTCCAGAGATGAAATCAGTCTATTAAACAAGCCTGGAGTGGTGCTTAAGGTGAGCGTGTGTTCACACACATGCGTGTGTGTGTTCTGCATACATGGGTGCAGGTGTATGGGTGTTTTCCTGTAGTGCATTGTGTGTGAGTGTCTGGGTGTGCATGCAGGGGGAACTTAGACACTACAAATGGTAGACAAGGTGAGAGAAGGAGCCAGACGCTGAGCGGCCTGATGTGGCCGGTGACGATTTTTTGGCTCTGCTCTGAGAGGACCTGTGAGGAGACACTTTCCTCCTCTGGGCGACTTCATGCTGCTGACGCTGCATCCCACCACCTCTGCCCCCAAGTCTGGCTTGGTGCCCGACATGCCCAGACTCTCCCCACCTTTCCCGGGCCCTCAGGTAAATTCTATCTGCTCCGGCAGTCCGGACTTCAGAGGCTGGGTGACCCAATGTCACTCAGGGGCCCTGTCTTCCATGAAGCCTACCAGGAGATCAGGGCAAGATTTAGCCAAAACACCTAGAACAAGCGTCTCCCTCCGTGGACCTTGTGCGTTGTCTCCAAGATCACGCTTCCACCATAAACGCCATGTGTCTGGGCATTTCCCCTCTCCTTTTCCCCATTGTTCCTCTTTTTATTGCCTTACTTTTTGTATGGCACAGCTAGTTCGCATTGTGGCTGTTTTCAGAGAGTGATTGGCACTCTAACTTCTGACTACCTTCTGGCTTCCTTCTGACTAGCTAGGGGTAGCCCCAAGAAAGAGGGACTCTAGGACTCCAATATCTTCTTTTTTAAATTATCTATCTATCTATCTATCTATCTATCTATATCTATCTAATAATCGAGGGGAAGGAGGGAGAAAGAGGGAGAGAAACACCCATGTGACAAGGAAACATGGATTGGTTGCCCCTTGCACGCACCCGACGGAGGACCAAACCTGAGACCCAGGCATGTGCCCTGACCCAGACTCAAACTAACAGCCTTTTGCTTTGTGGGACGATGCTCCAACCCACTGGGCCACACTGGTCAGGGCTAGGACCCTGGTGTTTTGTCTGAGTGACAGAGCTGAGAGCAACAGGAAGTGTCTTGTCAGATATTGTTGACGTGGATGTGAATCGAGCGTGGCGGAATGTGCACGGAGAACAACGCAGGGCACAGTGGTTGCCGAAGTGTCCCATCCCTGGCCTCCCCTCCCACGCACCGCCCGGCACCCTGGCCCAGCCTCCACCACCAGCACCACTGGTCTAATTAATATTTTTAAGCATCACCTTTCTCTAGCATGTCTCTTACTGGCTTAACTCCTTTAATCTTTGCATCGACCTGGTGGAGTAGGTTCTCTCATGCACTTTAGAAATGAAGATGGTGCAGCAAGGGGAGGCTGAGTAACCTGTGAATGGCCACGCGGCCATTAGAAGCAGCCTGGGGGACAGAGCCCTCTGTCCTCCCCACCAGGCTCCAAGCTCCACGGGCTGCGGGCAACCTTCTTAGACGCCGCTTCTCTGTGGGCCTATATTTTCATGATGGGGGGGTGGGGACTTGAACCACCATCTCCTTTCCTAGAGGTCTGGTTGAAAATGAGAAGAAAACTTAGAAGACGGAAGATAAAACGTGAAGTTAGGGAATAGTGTTCTATTTCCTTCTGTGAGCACTGGTTAATCTTTTTTGCAAATGAGACTTGGGGTTTTCAGCCTGAACCACTGATTTCAAAGGCACTCCAGTGGAGGACCCTCCGGGCTCTGTCTCCGCCCCTCTTCCCAGCAGAAGGACCCACCTCCCCGCCACCTCCCTCCCCACCGCCCTCTGAGCTCACTGCTGGGTCCGACGTGAAATCCCAGGTCTAGTTATCACTCCGTGCCTTCTTTGTGTCTGTCCCCCGCACACGTCTTGATTCCTTTTGTTCCTAGACTGTTAGACTACTTCCTTCTGCACAGGGATCGCACAGTTCTCATTTGTTTGCCATCTCGGCCCCAACAAAGCCCCACAGTTTCAAGTTTCAGAGTTTAACTCCTTTTCCCATTCTTCTCATCTTTTCCAGTTCTCATGGTCTCGGTCTCCTGCCCTGGGGACACAAAACGATGTGGACCCGGGTGTACTCTAAGGGGGGGCACCTGCTTCTCTGACACATTCTTCTCTTTTACTTTAATAATTGTTGTTTAACAATATTTAATTGTCGTTCAAGTACAGTTTTCTGCCTTTTACCCCCATCCCAGCCCACCCCCAGCCCTCCCCACATCCCTCTCGTTTCCTCCCCACCCTCGTTATTGTCCATGTGTCCTTTATACTTGTTCCTGCAAACCCTTCCCCTTTTCCCCTGAAATTCCCTCCACTCTCCCCTCTGGTCACTGCTCCGACACATTCTTGGTGGGAGAGTCACTTCCTGTGACCTTTCCTGGGGGGCAGGGCTACGCTCCTCACTCTGGCATCTCAGTGGGCTCCTGCCCCTTCAGATTGCTGCTTATTAGCCATTTCCCAGTGCCAGTCCTTGTCCTTGGGTGGCTGCCAGGAGCATGCCACTTGTCTGAATTGCCCACTCAGTGGTTACTATGGTTCAGTAGCTGTGGTATGAGCACAACACGGTCAGGCCGTCAGCATCACCTCCAGGAACGAGGACCGAGAATGAAGAATCTGCTGGGTGAGCAGCCTACTGCCCACAGGACGGAGCGGAGGTGAGTACTAGGCAGACAGGGGATGGTTTGGGGCTGGCTAGAGGTCAAGGCCGGCTGCTTCGCGTCCCTGTACTCCTGCTCCTCTTTCCCCACCTCTGCTCTTTGGCACATGCACCCTTTCAGAAGCACCTCGAACCACAAACCTCAGAACTGAGTAGGGGACTTTAGGATGTCACCTGTCCCCATCCTATCATTTTGTGGGTGAGGGGTCTGAGGCCCAGACAGGTGACATGACTTGTAAGAACCTAAAAACCCAAAATCTTAATGCACTTCTTATTTTTTTCTTCATAATGTCCTCGAGCTCCCTGAAACTATTTTTGGGGGACAGCCAAGGCTCAGGAGGCGAAGCTGCAGGGTGGCTGCGAGCCTAGGGTGCGACTCCTGCTGGAGTTCAGCTCCTGCTTGACCACCGGGTGGCCCTGCGGCCTCACCCACAGAACAGAGTGCTCCTTGGAGTAAACCTGCCTCTAAAGACGTTTGGGGGGATGAACTGAAGCAACCACTCGGGGCACTTGGCACCTCGCTGCGCATGTGGGGAGAGCTTGGAGCCCGACTCGTACCCTCAGGCACGCTGGGGTTGATGGTTGGGTTCTGCAGATGACCGAACACCATGTGTCTGCTCGCGTCAGAGGATGCAGTTCACCTTCACTGACCCGAAGTAAAACACTGAGAGGCTGGAGGGGTGCCCTGTGGGTTCTCCCTGGAAGCAGGTCGGTGGCACTGGGGTTGGGGATGAACAGTCATGTCTGAGGGACTCAGAGTTCCGTCTGTGAAGTGCAGCTCAGAGGCCCTTTGGTCGGTGTCTTCAGAATTCCAGGTTTCTGTGGTTTTGTGAAAAGTGCTTCCTACTTTTAGGCTGAAGTTGTTCATACTGAAGGGCTCAACGTTGAGGGGACAAGGCATGAACAAACCCAGTCTTGGGTTTCAAGACCTTGTCACCTCATCGCTGAAAGATGGGTTGACAGGTACCGGAGCATCCAACTGGTCATGATGGCAAGGGGACAATTCTATTTTCCTAGTCAGAGGAAGAGGATTCATTCCATGCATGTCGTCTGTCTTGTCAGCGACAGGGTTAGTGAGCTCTCCCTAGGCCGAGAGTGGGGGCAGACAGAGCAGCCTCTTGGGGAAGAAGAGAAGTGAGGTGCTAACCTAGGCCACCCGGCCACCTGCTCGGGGGTGGCTGCCTTTCTGGTCGTGCCCTGACAGGGGAGCAGGCACCAGGGTCTCTATTGCCCCCAAAAGTGGAGAGAATTTTTACAAGACTTTCACACACACACTCTCTCTCTTCCTGCTTCCCTTCCTCCCTTCATTACTGTTTTCTCTCCTTAAAAATATCACCCACCCTTACTAGTAACCATCCTTACATGTGGCAATTTTTCTCACCTTCCCTGCATCTTCCAGAGCTTTTTCCCAGGGCTTCTGAACAATAGTAGCCACAATTCCTAGACCTAAGGTGGGTTTTCTCTGGCTCTACTTTGCCAATCAAAAATCTTAACTGGAATTTTGTTGGGTCACTTTGGGGCCCTAAAAGAATGGCCATCTCAGTGCCAGGGTCACAGAGGCACTGGGGTTTTGTATTGTCATTAAAATTTTCTCAAGTCCTTCACTGGACACAGACTCGCTGCTGAGCCCCAAACACATCAGGGCTGAAACTACAGCTTGTGCTTAATGCATGAGCTGAAAGCCTTCATCACGTCCTGGAAGAAAAATCAAAGGTTTTTATGAAAGGAGTCACATGAAGGAAAAACCACTGAAGCATTTGTTAAAATTTTTTTGTTTGTTTTTTAAAAGTATTTTTTAAAAATCTTGGTTTTGGGGGGATATTAAGGAAGTCAATCTTTGACAGGAGCAGAGAGGAACAATAGAAACAAGGAAGGAGAAACTAGGGGACATGGAGAGAAATAAGGGAATTTTTGCATTGTGGTAACAGAGTTCTGCAAAGTCAGGGGCCTCCACAAGGGGCTTACCTCATGACATTATTTTGACCTTTCTGATTTGGCCATAGTTTCTTCCTCTGAAAAGTGAAAAGGTTGGGCTATATGATCTCTCACTGTGCCAGTAATTATTAGTCAATACAGTTTGATGAGAGAAGAAAATGACGGGCTTCTATGTCAGAATCAAGGAGGTTAAATAATAAATATAGATTTAGGATTTTCATGATAGAAAAACAATTGAGAAGTCAGCACAAAAAATGTATACAAGAGTTTAATCATGGGTGAGTGATGTAGGTTATAGAAAATCTTTCTCTATGCAAGCAGTAGCCGATTGTAAAACACAATGAAAGAAGAATGTGACTCAGATATAAAGAAAATCACAAAATATCTAGGAATATGGTTGCAAACCACATTCTGGATTTGTATGATAAAACTTCTTTAAGGACACAGAACATGATGTTAAAAGAGAACAAAAACATGTAAAGTAAAATCTTATTTTTAGAAAGACTTAATCATATACATGTCATTTTTTTTCTTAAGTAAAACCTGAAATATCTATGTGGTTTTAGTTAACCAGGCAGTGCAATTATTTTTAACTCAGTGGAGTCACTTCCGGTTCTATTGGAAGAGTGGATCATGAGTGAAGGCTGGGAAAGGCCAATGACGGAGTTTTGCCCGCCCTGAAGGCTAGGAGCTGGGTGGGCTCAAACCCGGTGGTGCTGGCTCAGAGTATGCACATGAGAATCCATGCTATGACCTACAACTACCTGGGCCCTTCAGACTGGACAAGTTGGGTCTCAGGCACTGTGATGAGTGTGCAAAGCCCCCGTCTGTTCTCTCCAGACATTCTCCTGAACTCAAAACATCAGGATGAGTCCGACCGCTTTCCGGTTCCTTCCAGTCATATATGACTTTGTTTTTCTCTTGTGTAAGATAATTTTTTCACGAGAACAAGGACATGAACTCAGTCATGTGCCTATTTTTAAAGATCACAGGCTTAGAGAGTGATGGCATTTCTGTGGACTCAGCAAACGTGTATTTCCTGGTGGGGCAAGAAATCGTTTTCATGCCACTGCTGGGAACTCAAATCTGTCACTGCTTTTCAGAGAAGACACCACCCCAGGACTAAAAGAATTAAGGACAAAACTGACCTGGAATACAGACATATTAGGTAAACACAGACAAAACACATATCTTTGAGGAAAACGAAGCATGAACAGAGCAAAACATAATCACCATGAGTGACCGTGAACTTCATCTATTGGATGAGCAAGCACAAAGTGAAAAGCAAGCCACAGACAGTTTCTGTACTGACAATTTAAAAAATGTCCAGCCTCAGAAATAATTTCAAAGAGATATATTAAAGCAAACAAGAGATATTATTATTAATCCCTTATATAATTTTCAAAGATTCAAACAATTGACAATAACCAGCACTGATGAGAACATTGACGGTCAAAAGGCGCTTTTCACATTGTCACTGAGCTCACGAAGTGGTCCAGCAGTTTCTGCAGTGGGCAGTTGGGCAGTGCCCATTCCAACTTGTATGTGCATATCAGTTGACATTTTACTTCTAGGGATTTATGCAAAAGTATGGTTATATAAATTTCTAAGCATATGTGAATAGTCACACAAATATACAAGGCAAGTATATTTGAACAGGTATTTAAAAATTCCTAAGAGATAATGTTTAGGTGGGAAAAAACATGCAATAGAGCTGGCTATAAAGTATGATTCTATATTTTAAATTTAAAAGAAATATTTACATAATTTTATTTATAAAGAAATAGAACTGCACTACTCTGAATAATGTCTATAATGGAAAAGTTGGTTTTTTTTAACCTTCTGTCTCTTACATTTCTTCATTATTTGAAGTTTTCCAATGCATAAATGTTCTCAGAAAAAGAATAGATTTAAATGTAAGTAAATGAGAAAATTCAAATGATGCAGGTAACTAGGTCAATTTTTCCACTCATTTTTAACCACTGTGCACCTTTTTTCTCTTTAACATGGATTCTGTAGGAAGGTTATAACTAACCCGCCACTGTCCTGAACGTCCTTGTCAGGAGCCCTGGAATTTCAATCAACTTGCCTCAAAGTCTTCCTTACCTGTGAAGGACCGTCCTTGCCTCCTTTGTGACAGCTGACTCTGGGCCTCCCACTCTCCTGCAGATACTTCTTCTTTACCTGATACCACCTCTGTGTGCAGTGATCGCATAAGTGGCTACAAGGTGAGGCCAGTGGGGGTGGCAGCCTGGGAGCAGGAGAGCACAGGCCTGTTAGGGCTCCTCCCACGGGGACAGAAAGGCAGGGCCTGGGGCAGGGAGTCGTTAATCTCTATCCCAATCCTAGGACAGTGACGAGGTCCTCTGACTGAGCACCTCATCAGGCTCCTCTGACTCTGTCCTCTGCCTCTTTCTTCCCCAGGCCTCCTGAGCCTCCGCTGTGGTGCAATGAGACTCCTGCACATCTTCCTTACCGCCCTCTTCACCATCTGTCAGGCGCTGACAGGTAAATACCAACCGTGCTGCCCTTATCGCTACCTTGGATTTCCTTCCCCTAAGTCAGCCATAGCTGAAAGGCACAACATGAGGGAGCTGCTCAGGGGTCCCCTTGACACCCTAGCTTCACATACAGAAAGTTGAAAGTGCCTTTGAAAGCTGGTGGTGTTGTGTGTGTGTCCTTACAAGTCTTGTTGCATAGTGATCTTCTACTCTCTTCCCTTTCCTGCAAGTGAACTGGATGATTTGAGAACCAAGTCAGAGTAACCCAGAATGGAGACAAATGTTATGGAGACCCTGGCTACAGACCTCTTGCCACTCATATCATGGGAGTGACAGAGAGTTTAGATGGGCAAGGCTTCCATCCCTTGAGACTGAGAGTTGGGGTGGATCTTGTGTGGTGGGGAGGTGGGGCAATTGGTGAGACAGGTAGGGCACTGGGGAGACAGGTGGGACATTGTGGAGACAGGTGGGACATTGGGAAGACACGCTGGGCAATAGTTACTGATAGAGCACACCTCACCCTCCAATGAATGCCCAGTGGTTCTCTTGGCAGGAAGGACAATTTGGCTAGAGGTTGTATCAGCAGCAATGACATCCTAGGGCAGATTAGGGGGTGAAGAGAAGGGAGGGTGAAATCTGGGAATCAAACCCACTTTGCTGTTGGTGTTTAGCTGGGAAAGATGGGGGCCCATCTGGATACTAGGTCTCCAGCTGTCCTCATGGACATCCAGCTCAAACAAACATCTCTTCCTTTTTTCAGACAGCATGAGGGCACTCAGTTTTGAAAGACCCTGCTATCTTCGGGGTGGAGTCTGCCTGAAGCAAGGGACACCAAACTGTGAGCCCTACCGAGGACCCTGCCGAGCATTCACCATTTGCTGCCGAATAAAGAGGAGCTGATGAAGGTGCCCAGGGGAGAAAGCTCAGCTCAGGGACCTGCCACATGAAGGGACAGCAGTGGGAGAGGAACAATTATAAGAATTAAATTTATATTACACTTTAAATTTTGCAAAGCATTTTCATGCACATAACATTGTCATCCTTAGAACCACTCTGGTCTATCAAACCCATTCACAGATGTAGAAACCAAAACTCAGCTAGATTCAGCCACTCCACTCCCCCAAAATGATAGAGTCATAAAAGAAAGAGCATAATCTAAGGCTTTGTTCTGTTCCAGAATTCTCTGTCCATATGGGCAGGGAGTTATGGTCTCTTTACAGTCTCAGGCATCTGGACAGGAAGGAATTCACTACAGTTGGTGAGGCACCATGAAGACAGGGTGTGGTCCTGGGTCCTGCCACCATTGTGGGTCAAGTGCAAGTGAGAAGGAGCTATGGGGGCTGCACAGGGCTAAGAAGGGTGGTGTTGGGGACATGCAGGATAAAAGCACACATGTCTGGAGAGTATCCAGAAAGGAATTTCAATTGCAGGTCAGAAGGCTTATATATGGGGCTGGAGTTCTGGTGACCACTGTGTGTCTTCCTCATTCACTTTTCCTGTCCAGGCATGTCACCCACTGTAGTCTCCTCAGTAAGTGGTCTCTCTACTATGTCACTGTTCTGCCTTGGGCGGGGAGGAGCCAGCCTAGAGATCAGCATTGCTTTTTGTGATTTACAATGCATGTCAGGGGAGGGGAGGCAGGTGGCAGAAAGTAGTCCAAGGTGCCCAGGAAGGTGGGAGACAAAGAGAAAAGGTAAGGTATACTTACCTGCTTCCAAAACTTATAAAGAAACCCATGGCAGAGAACCGAGCTTGGCTGGCATTGTCATGAGGGACAATGAGGGCCAACTGTGTGACTGGGTCCCTGTCACTGAGTAACTAAAGGAACAATGGGCGTGCCTGTCTGGACACAGACACAAGTGTCCATTTCTCCACCGTCCCTCATCAGCACTGTCATCTTCCAGAGTCCAGGTACAGGGATCCTTGCAAGGTTTTGCCTCTTCCTTGTGTCTGTTCTGTGGGCCCGCAGGGGGCCCTGTGCTTTGGTGGCACAGTCTACCCCCACATCAGGGGAACTTAGGAACTAATGAGTAGTTTAAATGTAATTCATGTTCTCATTTGTATTTCTTTGTCATAAAGTAAAAACCTTCTTTGCTTTCTCATATAATTCTCCCAGGGTTCACAGATTCGCTGACACCTCTCTCTTCTAAAGTCTCTGGAAAACCCCAGCTCCAGCCCCATTCCTCTAGGTCTTCCTCTTTCTCCCTTTTCTTTCTGATCCAAACATAGGAGCCTGGCTTGTGATGAGCAGAGCAAACCTCAGAGGGGAGGCAAGGAAGGGAAGGAGGCTAGTGGTCAGGGGTGAAGACAGAGGAGAGGTGGGGACACCGAGCATAAATGTGGCTTGTGCTGTGGCCCCAGCTCTGAAGCTCTTTGTCACAGTGACTCAGTAGAGTGACATGTCCCTCTGATTTGACTGCCTGTGTTGCTTGACTCAGAAAATTCACCAATTATGTCAACTTTTGTTCATTCATATTTTTCTCAATAAATTACGTATTGAGCCATGAACCTGTTCATTTTTCTGTTTGAAAAAAAGTTTACTTCATGGTGCATATATTCTAATGGAGGAGAGAAACAATAGAAATAAGTAACATTTAATACATTAAATGCAAAACACAGTAAGTACAAAGAGCAATATGTGGGTGATGGACTATAGAATTATATGCTTGAGGACTTCTGGCAAAGATGGAGGCATAGGTAGACATACTTTGTCTCCTTGCATAACCAGAAGAAGGACAACAAATTTAAAAACAAAAAATAACCAGAACCGACAGAAAATTGAACTGTATGGAAGACCGACAACCAAGGAGTTAAAGAAGAAACATTCACCCAGACCAGTAGGAGGGATGGAGATGGGCAGCTTGGGTGGGGAGGATGCGTGGCAAGGCACCAGCTGGCAGACCAGGGTGGGCAAGCTGGTAGCTGGCAGAGTGGGCAGTCCCACATTTGTGTGCAGATAAACCAAGAGGAATAGCTTGGGAGGGAGACAGACCTCACAACCCAGGGTTCTAGTGCAGGGAAATAAAGCCTCAAAACCTCTGAGTGAAAAAACCTGTAAGGGTTGTGGCAGTGGGGGGAACTCCCAGCTTCACAGGAAAGTTTCTTTGAGAGACCCACAGGGTCCTAGAATGTGCACAAACCCACTCAGGAGTCAGCACCAGGAGGGCCCAATTTGATATCGGGTAGTGGGGGAAGTGACTGAAAGCCAGCTGAGAACTGAGCAAGAGGCACTATTCCCTCTCTGACCCCTCCTCCACAGACAGCGTCACAATGCAGCAACATGCAACATGGGCTGCCCTGCCCTGGTCAATACCTAAGGCTCTGCCCCTTACTACATAACAGGTGCAATGAGACAAAAAAAATATGGCCTAATTGAAAGAACAGATCAAAGCTTCAGAAAAAATATAAATAAGTGATGAAGAGACAGCCAACTTATCAGATGCAGAGTTCAAAAACTGATCATCAGGATGCTAACAGAAATGTTTGAGTATGGCTGCAAAATAGAGGAAAAAGTGAAGGCTATAAAAAGTGAAATAAAGGAAAATGTACAGGGAACCAACAGTGATAGGAAGAAAATTGGGACTCAAATAAACAGTTTGGACCAGAAGGAAGAAATAAACATTCAAACAGAACAGAATGAAGAAATAAGAATTTAGAAAAATGAGGAGAGGCTTAGGAACCTCCAGAACAACTTTAAATGTTCCAACATCTGAGTCATCAGGGTACCAGAAGGAGAAGAGGAAGAGCAAGAAATCGAAAACTTCTTTGAAAAAATAATGAAGGAGAACTTCCCCAATCTGGCTGAGGAAATAGACTTCCAGGAAGTCCAGGAAGCTCAGAGAGTCCCAAAGAAGTTGGACCCAAGGAAGCACACACCAAGGCACATCATAATTACATTACCCAAGATTAAAGATAAGGAGAGAATTTTAAGAGCAGCAAGAGAAAAGGAGACAGTTACCTACAAAGGAGTTCCCATAAGGCTATCAGCTGACTTCTCAAAAGAAACCTTACAGGCAAGAAGGGGCTGGAAAGAAGAATTCAAAGTCATGAAAGGCAAGGACCTACATCCAAGATTACTCTATTCAGCAAAGCTTTCATTTAGAATGCAAGGGCAGATAAAGTGCTTCCTAGGCTAGGTAAAGCTGAAAGAGTTCATCATCATCAAGCCCTTACTATATGAAATGTTAAAGGGACTTATCTAAGAAAAAGGAGATAAAAATATGAACAGTAAAATGACAACAAAATCACAACTATGAACAACCGAATGTAAAAACAAACTAAGCAAACAACTAGAAGAGGAACAGACTCAGAAACACAGATCATATGGAGGGTTGTCAGTGGGGGAGGGGGAGGGGAGAATGGGGGAAAAGGTACAGGGAATAAGTAGCATAAATGGCAGGTAGAAAACAGATGGGGGAGGCTAAGAATAGTACAGGAAATGTCGAAGCCAAAGAACTTATATGTACGACCCACGGACATGAACTAAGTTGGGGGAATGATGGTGGGAGGGGAGGTGCAGGGTGGAGGGGAATACAGGGAGAAAAAAATGGGACAACTGTAATAGCATAATCAATAAAATATATTAAAAAAGAACTGTACACTTGAAACATAATCTTATCAACCGATGTCATCCAACAAATTTAATAAAATTTAAAACATTTGAAGAGAATGTACTGGGGAAGGGGGATATGAAGCTTTAGTAGGATGGGGCGGGGTGCCCAGGGAAGGCTTCCTGGGACAGGCATGAGCCATAAAGTTGTCTTTTAGACTCCAACTCGGACTGTGTGGGGTTCGAGTTTTGTTATTGTGAGCCTCCAGCTGCGCTCACCCTTAAGTGTCTGGGATTTATTGGGGCTTTTACAAGTGCCTGCTTTTGGGGCAGAGATCTGTGGTCTTGGCCGGTCCCACCTGCCCTTGTTCAATGCCATTCCTGCCCCTCACCTTCAGAATGTACTTCCCTCACTAAGTGGGAACTTGTCCAACAGCTCCCCAGCACAGCCTCCTCCGTTGCTAGTTGTAGACATTTTCAGTCTCAGAGGCAACTGGTTAAAATAATTTGATAAATCCCTACTCCCAGCATTTCAGTTTCATCTTCCCTCTATTTCTGCATTTCGTAGATTCTGGAATCTGCTAGGACCCACTGACAGTCTGAGCCACTCAGAAGGATCTATGCTAAATTCTTTACCGTGACACAGGTGACGCAGGGGCTTCTTCAACTGCCATCTCGCTCTGGGGGCAGCTGCCCACATGGAAAGACTAGCTGCTGGCATCTGTGGACAGAGGCCCAGCAGGCCATGCAGGGAGCTCTGGAACTCCAATAAGCAACTGTTTAAGGAGGTAGACCACTGATTCGCTGGCCTCTGGTTCACAGCTATTCACCACTTTCAGTTTTGCCGAATCCACCTGTGTACTTACGTGACTCCACTTAGTGATACCAGAAGCAAGACGAAGGGCAAGGACCAAAGTCACTAGTGCCTGGGGCACAGGACAGGTGGGACACCGAGGAACAGTGTGGGAACAGTTGTGGGGACGTGCCTCCCGCCACAGGAATGCTCCAGTCTTGCCTCAGGGCCTGCGCTTGGGCGAGTGTGCCCAGAAAGAAACAGCCTAGGGAGGGGACTTACCCCAGATGCCAAACTACCAGTCGCTCTGCAGGAGCTTCTTCAGGCCTTTTCTCTTTCTGGGCCAATGCCACATAGTTCGAGTGTCAGCACCATTGTTAAGTTATAATAACAGGCAGTGGACATCAGGGTGGCTGCTCTTCATACGACTTGTTGACTCTGGCACATTTTCCCTGTACAACAGGTGTTTAAATCAGCTAGTTGATATCACAGAAACCTGTATTTTGAACCTGAATTTTCTAAATTCTCCATAATCTGCAGAATGTTATTAGCCAAGGTACTATTCTTTTAAAATGTAACATGATAGTCAATGAATTCTAGCAGCCAATCCCTGGGAACAGAGACTAGCAGGATATTCCACAGGAGGAAAGAACTCCTAAGTTCCAGGTTCCCAATTCTAACTTGGGTTTCTCTGTGTTCGAACTTGATCACCATGCTGAATGGCTCTTGTCTTAACTTCCTCGTGTGTGCATTTAGGAATAATGTTAGGATCTGCGTGGAGTAACACTAATCGGCCTCTGGCTGAAGGAAGGCCAGACTAATGGCCTCCGTATGCTCTTCTCGGTTGGTCCTACCAAAACGTAAGACACAACTGTCATCTAGGAATAAGAGGAAAAGGCACAGAAATCCCTGCATCGGCCTCTTCTGAAGCTGCTCATTGTAGACAAGTTCATGGTTTATTCAGTATAAAGGGTGTTTGTTTTCATGGGAGCCCAAGATTATCTGGGTGGGTGAGAAAAAATAGAAACCTCACTGTGGGCTCTGTGGGATTGTATTTTAGGGTTTGCTGGTCACACTCCCATGATAGAGGACAGAAATATTAGGTGAAGCCCCTGCCTGAAGACCAGATCAGATTTGGGAAGAAGACTTGTTTTATTCAAGCTTTGGCCAAGGAGGAAAGCCCCTCAGCTTCACCCACCAGGGTCTCAGTTTGGTCAGCCCACAGTAGAGCTGAGAACATGAGGCTTTTATCAGTCATGAGACAGCACTGTGACCTGGATGGGGACCTGAATCAGCAGGGTCACCCTGGAACCAAAGGCAAATCTCACTGGTCAGACCAGGCAGGACCTGTCCCCAGTAAGAGCACATGACCTGGTGACGCCGCCGCGGCTGTGCATTTAAGAGGTTTTGGAAGCATTCTGGACGTCTGGAGACAGAACAGAGCCTGGGGAGGTGAGTCCTAAGAGGTAGGTGGTGGTTTTCATTCTATCAGGTTTCATTCTACGCAGCACTAGGGCGATCAGTAGAAAAATAACAGGTGATTTTGTGACTGTGAGTACCGAGTTCAAATAGCAGGTCATAATACAAGTTACAGAAGAGTAAATGAAGAAAAAAGTCATATAAACTCTTCTCTGTTTTCTCCATAGATCAAGTGTCCATCAACTGTAGTTGCTCTTACTTTTACTATTGTTACCTCTGCTGTTCCTCCCAGAGTCTTCGGGGTTAACAGAAGAGACTCCTCCAGGTCTGCACCATTGTTGTTGTTTACTTCCTGCACAGTCACTGTTCAGTATATTATTTAACTAGAACTCGTAACAGTTGGACATTCTCTTCCACACCTAGTCACCCTGGTGAGACCTGTCAGATGACGCTTGAAACTACTTTTCATTCAACAATATTCTCAAGCCGTTTATTTTCTCCCTTCCAGACTCTTCAGAAGAGGTCTCCACAGAACTGGCCCCATGAAGCTGTTGTACATTCTCATCTTCATCATCTCCCTCATGTCTCAAGTGACGCCAGGTAAGCCCTCCTCCTTGGCACCTCCTTCTCCTCTCTGAATGCTGTTTCCTTTGTTCTTCCACTCCCCTCACCCAAGGACCCCCAGTTCCCCGGAGCCCGTGTAGAAATGTTCACCCAGGAATGATGAGACAAGGGAAACTTCTCAAGTGGGTCACTGGGTTAGCCCCTTCAGGTCTGCATCTGAAGCGTGGAGAAGCCCCTGCTGATCTGTGAGCAGGAAAAACTAACCCGCTTTCCTGTCTACCAGATGGTGCCCCGACAAACGCACTCTTCTCTCCTAAAGCTCCCACCTACGGGTGGCAGTTTCTAGTTCACCCTCCCCCTCCTTCTACAGATGTGGTATTTCATGGCTACAGGAGCAGGAAAAGACACCTAGAGGTTTCATAGGAGGCAGCAGTGCCTGCACTTAGAACCATGGCGTTTGGAAGAAACGCAGAGGTGCTTTCTTCTCCCTACTTCGTGGAAGTACTGAGTGCCATAGAGCAGCTCAGGGTTTTATGCTTAGATTGGGGGGAGAAAAGATGGCTTTCATGGGTGGCCCCATGGGGTCTGGCAGGGCCCTGAGGGGGCCAGACCTGTCACCCTGCAGACAGTGACTCTCCTGTCTGCCGTGCTGTGCTCTGTGCTCACCCACCTTCGTCCTCGTCCTCCACCCCAACTCTTTCCCTCCTCTGATGTTCTGTGTTAAGATAAATCCATTCACCTGGTCAGACATTTCACTCCGTCTCCTGGCTCAGACCTCCTTGTGCTCCTTCACAAATTGACATACAAGCACTAAGGGGACAGGAGCTGGACCGAGAGGTATGGCCCCAGCCACTGTCCTGTCTGCTTTGGCTTCACAAGAGCCTGTTCACTGCGACTCGCTGGGAGTCAGGATTGTTTGGCTGCAACACTCAGAAGAGTGGCCCCAACCAGTTCCCTTCCTGGGCTGCTTTCCTGTCAAAGAGACAGACAGGCAGACTGGGGGTTGCTATGGAGAAGCAGAGGGGGATAGTGGACAGGTCACCTCCCAGGACACCCTGCTGGTCACAGACCCAGGGCACAGGAATGGGAGTGATTCCCAACAGCAGGTGGCCCACCTTTCCAAGCTCCCTGGGCACAGTGGCCCCAATGAAGCCCAGGACAAGGTGGGTGGCCCTCTCCAGAGAGCCGTGCCATCTGGTGTGAGGACGGGCCACAAGAAGCCCTCACCAGCGAGTCTGAGAAAGCTCTCTGATAGAAGCCCAGTTCTCCCACTTCTCCAGCAGGGTGTGGCTGGGATGGGCCCGTTGAATAAAGGGAACACAGGGCTGAGCTCTGTGGGTGGGTGAAGTCGGGGGCTGTGAGCCTGCCTCCAGCCCTGGCGCTGATTCCTCAGGGGTGGCTACAGCCCTACGGCCAGTCTGGGGCCAGTGACAGCCAGCCAGCCTCTGGGGGCTCTGCTGCCTGGACTCCAAAGTCAATGACATCTGTTAATGGCCCTGGGAGACAGGCTGGATGAGGGGGACTGCATAGACCCTTCCTTCTTGGAGCTGTGTGTAGACTCTCACCTTCAAAGAGGCAGGAAGGGTTTTTTCTTTTCAAGCCTGGCCCTGAGTCAGGTAAGCACCTCAGCTGGTGCCCCTGATTATGCTGGGTCTTTTTCTGTAGAGCCCTGAATTTAGATCTTTGATTTTAAAGACATAGCTGTTAAATCCTGAAGGCGGGGCTTCTGAGCGAACTTCAGAGGGTTGCTGACACGCCTCAGAGTCCTCGGGGCATATCATGCATGTTTGCGTGTTTTAATAAACACATATGTGGCCCCTCAACTTCAGTGTCTGATTCTAAAGGACAGTGTCTGACAATTCTGGAATGACACCTGCGGGGACACTCGGGGTCTGTGGCATATCGACCCAAGAGGAACATTTGAAGTATCTCATCCCAGCCTCCAAATAACAGCACAAACTTTTCTGTCCCTAACAAGCTCTCAGAAACTGGCATGGTCCTCCTATTGAACGAACAAGGAGGGACAAGGTGGGGACGAGCAGGTGCCTAGGACCGAATTCCCTCATGAGCAGTGAGCCCTGAAGTTTGGGGGTTCCTGGTTGGACTGAAGTATTTCTTCCCCTGAGCAGGGAGCTTGGGCCTTTCTTCCCCCAAAAAAGTGTTTTTCTTCTTTGTACAGCTTATGGGCACAGTGCAATGCACACTTGGTGTGACTGGAGTGTAAGTGTGTGCCTGCGGAAGAAGATAAACTGCACCAAGCGCATGCCCGGCATGTGCCCTGGAAGAAGCTTCTGTTGTCTGAGAATGAAGTGAGCCCAAGAATTCATGTTTCATGCCCTGACCCTGTGTTCAGTAAATTGAAGAGTTCATGTTTAACGTGTCTGCTCTAATTCTTCATTCACTGATTCGTTTCTTTTGTCAACACCAGTTGGCCACCTGCTGTGGGCTAGGAACTGTAGGGGTGGCTGGGGGACAGGTTCAAGCTCCCTTTGAAGATGCACACAGACATGGACATCTTCTCCAAGTTGGGTGCATCAAGAATATCTTCCCCAGTGAATATGAGCTGACTCATAAAAAATGAGCAAGAATTAGCCAGGGAAAGCTGAAGGAGACAAGCATAAGGGTGCCAATAGGAAGACAACAAAAAGGACCAGGGTCCCTGGCCACAGACAGGACTCAGGGGCATGGCCCACAGATGAAGGACAAGAGACTATCCAGAGAATTTTACTTTATCGTTTAAGCTGCAGGGAAACAGTGAAGAATTTTAAATGCCATTTAGGATATTAAGCGAGAACAGAAGTGTCAGGGTGGGAGGTGAAAGGGCAGGAATGAAGACACTGCCAGAGACAGGACTTGGAGGTCAGTTACTGAGAAGCTTCTTGGTAGGAGAAGCAGGAGGAGTTGGTCCCTGGAAGTGGGGAGCGAGGAGGCAGAAGGTTGCTGCTACGAGGGACTCACTGGACGAGGGGGAGTTACCAGAGTGGGGCCCCTGGTCTGGAGTTTGGAGGAGAGATGGTGATTTCTGACAGCGGGACTGGCATGGGCCATCGTGGAAGCCCCCCAGGCCAGGCTTCCAGCAGAGACCGACAGGCAACAGAGGACAGAGGGTTAGACGGTGGGGAGGCCGAGGAGGCTGGCAGGTTGGGGGCAACCTGGAGGAGCTGCACCTGCAGCCGTTCTGGGAAACCGAGCTCCTATTTCTATTCCCGCAACAGCACCATCAGCTTGAGACGGCCTGAGACCTCCGGGGTTAAACCCATCCTGAGGGCACTCGAGCCCTAATGTCTGAGGCAAGGGTCAGGCCTAACTTAATAACTAATTAGATTTGTGACACCTGTTAACTCAATAATTTTTAAGTAGACTTATTAGATTATTACATTATCCGGGCCATTAAGTATTACCATTTGGCCTCTGATAGTGTAACTTTGTCAGTGACATCAATTGTGGGATTTCCCCATTGTCCTTGGATCATAGAGGACAAGCATTATACAACTTTTCACACATTTGGGCTCCCATCACTGACGAACGGCTTTCTGCCCTTGTTTGAGGGGAATGTCCGAGGGGCCCTGGCAGAGGTCGGAAACATACCTCTGTGGTCAATCAATCAGTCCCTACATTCCTCCTTGTTTCAGCTATCCTGACACCTCAACTCTCTTTCACGTGTCCCTAAACTTGTGTTTAAGCCGACTGAGCACCCCTAGAAGCTTGAGCAGAACTACTTAGCCCAGAATCACTGATCACATGTGCCTGTGTCCTGCCCTGGTCCCACGGTCTCTTGTCTCCTTTCTGTTCCAACACCCTCAGGATGAAGTAAAAAGTGTATTAGTTGGGTCAATGTTTGCAAAGCCTTGCAGTTCTTTTGACGTGCAGTGTGTCTTCATGGTGAGGCCTTCTGCAGTCCTTCAGATTGCTGTCTCCGTGATCTAGGGGACACAGTGAGACATTGACAAGGTATGTCTGCAGAAACAGCCCAGAGGCCTCTGTGTCAGGCGAGGTCACCGCAGAGACTTTGGGAGGAAGGGGGCCAGCATCCTTAGCCCGAGGAGGGGGAGGCTTCCTTCAGGAAGGGACGCTAAGATCTGGGAGTTCAAGGTATTATAAAGATCAGAATCCATCCAACTTCAGGCCCCCTCCTCCTTGATAAGCCCTGTGTTGTTCATGTGAGATTAGGTGGGGCACCAAATTTCACCTGGCTCGTCAGTCAGCAGTCTCTCCCATTCCATGCTGAGTCGATGTTTCAGACACACACTGTGTCACTGCAACAGTGAGTGAAGACCTTCCTGACGGCAGGGGGAGAAGTCACCATGTCTCTGACTCCACCTGGCTGCAGGCACTGGGGTCCCCGGGGCTGAGTGGGGGGGAGGAAGCTGGCGACTGCACCTTTACCTTTGTGAGTTTTCACTGAATTTATCTGTTTTCAGCCCACGGCCTCACCGACCTCTTTGCACTGCCCAGAGTTCCAAGTCTGCCACCTTCCTGGCTCAGCATTTCCAAAAAGTAAACTCTTCACCTTCAACCCAGGTGGGGAGAGGGTGCAACAAGCTAGGGAAGGGAGCATCAGGGCCAAATTTCTCCTTGTTTAGACTTCCGGTCACTCCTGTGCTCTCTGAGTTCTGGTTCTAGGGGCTGATGCCTCAGTGCCCACTGGAATCTTTCTGCTCCTTGGGGCCTAACTCGTTTCCCTGGCTCCTCTGTATTGCTTGATACCCGAGTCTTTAAGGGACATAAACATGAGAACAAAATCTCAGGAACTTTTCTACACACAATCCACATTCCCCTCCACCCCTCAAAGCTCTTTTCCTTAGTCCAGGGGTTTATGGATAGACGTGAGCAGGTCACAGGCGGCGTGGGGAACAACAGTTCCAATAGTTCCGGTGCAGCAACTCAGACTCGGAGAAGCGAGGTCTTGCCTGAAGTCAAATAAGCTCATTAGGGGTGTGAGCCAACTTCGAACCTAGGACTTCCCCTCCAGTTCCAGGACCTGCCCCTCTAATAAGCACGCTCTCAGACAGACAGACGAGCTCCCTGCGAGTGGCGGAGATTTTATTAAGAGCCGGTGGTGGCAGTCGCCCGCACCGTGGGGTGCCGCCCAGCTGACTCTAGACTCGGCAACAGTGCTTGATCCGACTCCTGCACTCGGCTGGCAGGATGGAGCAGCCGTGGGTTTTCTGGTGTTTGCAGACGCCACCCATATTTTCACATTCCTGCTTTTTGTTCTCTTTTTTGTGTCCTGTGAGGGAAAAGGTGGAAAAACAAAACAAAACAGAAAGAAATAAAGGCCTGTTGAACCAAAACTACAAATTCACCTTGTGGGGTTAGAATCTGAAAAGTCACTGGCCACGAGACAAAATTAATCCTCACCCTGCGTTGGTGTGACCTGGGAACTGAGAATAGCTTTCACGTTTTTTAAGTGGTAGGAAAATAAACAGAAGAGGAGAAATATTGGGTGATTTATGAAAATGGTATGACGTTCAAATTTTAGTGCCCGTAACTAATTTAACTTTACAGGAAGACAAGTGTCCCCTTCGATTCTACGTCACTGGTGGTGGCCTTCTGTCTGCAGCCACAGAGGCGAGTTGTGGCGGCCTGACCTGTGGCCCAGGGGGTGTATTACTCTTGGCCCTTCACGTGGACAGCTGGCCCACCTCTGCCAGGGAGGGTCTTTCCTTTTCAGATGAAGATAACTTTAGATCGGAGATATACTTTTCATGCTTGTCTAAAAAGCTTCCTAAAGTGCCCTTTTCCTGTCCAAGAGGCAGAATGGGACAAGCACGGAACCCAGGTGAGTGAGACAGGGAAGGGCACCCTAACTCCCGAGGGCAGCGAGGCTGCAGCCTTGGCCTGCGGTGCGCATGTGCACTCTGGCTCACTTGCCTACTGAACCAGTGGGGGTCCAGTGGGGGGACTCCGGCAGTTCAGAAGGCATCATGGGAGGACACAGAGTCTGAGTCCGGGCTAGAGGGAGCAAGAGAGAGACCGACTGGCAGGCACGAGGAAGCCACGGGTAAGGAGTGTTTCTGTCCGAGGTAATGGCTGTGCAAAGGCCCCATGTTGGGATGGAAAGCCAGCTCTGCCCGGGATTATGATTCCTGGCTTCTAATTCCAGATCCGCCTCCACTATAGCTTTCCTCCGGAAGCTGCAGATTCTCCTAATTGTTCATAAGGATGCAAGGTAAAAATAATTATTATGTATGCAATTCACATGTATTTGTATGCCTATTATAACTATGGAGATGTATTTATAATTGATATCATTCCTATTATAAATATGAATTTACATTCATATTCAGAGGTGGGCAAAAGTAGGTTTACAGTTGTAATACAAATAAATAATACAATAAGTAATAAATGAACAGTGTTTCGCATACCCCCACCTGTAAGCCTACTTTTGTCCGCCCTGTATGTACATGTCCATACTTATATTTATACCTATGTGTCCATATTTATATCTATTGTGTGTCTATTTCCATTAGGCTGTTCACCATACAGGCCTGGCTGTCCATTTTCCTGACGTGAAGCAAGCTTTACCTTCTGTGTGATTGGGTGGGGCCACAGGACTTGCCTGGGTCATCAACCTTGAGCAGAAGTGACATGCCTTCTGGAGCCGGGAGTCACCAGCTGGGGCTCCTGGGAGCGAGCTTGTCTCCAGCAAAGGAACCAGCAATGTTCCCGGAGGCGGCTGCTCAGGCAGCCAGGCCCGAGCAGCCATAGTGAGCCCGGCGCCTCTCTGGCCACAATTAATTTGTATTGTGACCAGAATGAAAACTTTGCTCCTTTGAGATGCCAAGGTACAGATGTTGTTTTCACCATGGCGTAACCTGGCACGTGCTGACAAATGCATGCGGTTGCCAAGTGAAATGCGGGACACCCATTTAGGTTTCAATTTCAGATACACAAGAAAAAGTCTTCTGGTATAAGAAGTATGTTCCACTAGGTATTGCATGGGTCATAGTCATACTAAAAAGTGTTTATAGTTTTACATGTCATATTTTTAAAAACATTTTTAAGGATTTTATTTATTTATTTTTAGAGAGAGAGGAAAGGAAGGAGAGAGGGAGAGAAACATCAATGTGTGGTTGCCTCTCGTGCGCCCCCTACTGGGGAGCTGAACCGCAATCCAGGCATGTGCTCCGACTGGGAATCAAACCGGCCACCCTTAGGTTCACAAGCCGATGCTCAATCCACTGAGCCACACAGGCCAGAGCTTACATGTGATTTAATAAATAAAGTTATTTTTCTGGGAAAATGTTAATCTATCATTATTACTAGTGGTGGGCAGTCTTGGGAAAGCCTTTTTAATTTCTTCATGCTTCTCCATCCTTAATGGGCAGGGGGAGTGCGTTGTGCACTCACTTTCAACTACGGTGTTGATTGGT